GCTCGTGACACTCCCATGAGCTTCTGCAGGCTTGAACTACAAAGCAGGTGAAGAACCTTTCTGCCTCATGCCTATGCCCACTGGCACAACTGTGCTCAGAATGGGAAGTATCAGCTGGGAGTCAGCATATGCAGGAATAACAAGCTAATGTGTCCATCTGATTTCAGTGCCTACAATACAGAGGTTCATGATTTCCCCCACATAGTCTTTTCTGTAGGAGGAAATCCACCCGCTGTACTATCGCACACTTCTTTGATCTCTTTTCTGAATAAACATGTCTGCATAAGACATGCTAGTTTATGGACTAGATTTTATGAGAAAAAAATCAACATCCGTGAGCAATGCAGTTAATCTGACCCGACCTCCAGTGTAGATAGTACTAGGTTAATGGGAGACCTCACTACCACCTCTTGGGGAGATGGAATAGTCCTTCCCATCAGGTTAGGTAGTGCTATATTGTTTTAAGACAAGCGTAAAATGAAGGAAGAGCTTGGGGACGAGTGCCTCACAACTAGACACACACACATACAATTGGCACAGGTGCGAAGCAGCCCTCTTCCTGAACAACAGCTACGTGGGAGCCAAATTCTGTAGACAGAATCTTTACTGTATGCTGGATCCACCCCCGCTGCAGTCAGGGGAAAGACATTCACTGACCTCAAGGGTAGTTGGATCATTCCCAAATATAAGTCCTAGCATGCAGATACAGTAGCTTGGTTCAGACTTTTCTAAACAAAGACTGTTATGACAGGGCCATTGTAAGCAATTCCCTTGCAGACCAGATACTGTGTAAATAAAAGGATTCCAGGAAGGACCATAAAAGCTACTGCATAGTTTGCCTAATCACTTGAGTTCACATATCATTCAGATGCCAAAGGCCTGCTAAGAGTATTATACATACATGGTGTGCGCTCTCTTTCTCACTCTTTCAGTTTGGCCCTTTGGTGTCGAAAGCACTCAAAGTTATAGCTTTGAATTGTGAATTATTAATCTTAATTTTAAATTACACATAATTTACATATGACTTTTGAGGTAATGTTAAGTTTTTTTTTCCTGATTGACCAATCAGGTTCCTTTAAACTATTTATGACTTATTATTTATGTAATAGCTTAACTGGACTTTTATCCTTTTTCACTCCTTTTGTCATTTTTGCTTTCGTATCAGATACAACTCAGACAGCTGCTAAAAACCCTTACTGAAATTATATTGCATCTAATGTAATATTTTCAATTCCAATTGCACAAGAATACACAGTCTGAATATATTTTAAAATCATATGCTATTTGTATTATAAATAAACAACAAAAGCTTCTATGGTTTTTAAAGTATATTGGATCAAATTTATGAGTCATCTAATAGTGGAGTAAGATGCATTTTGTCTGAGAAAATGAGGACAAATGATAAAGTGTAATGTAGTTATATTAAAAGAAGAGCTGTTTTTTTCTCACATCCTATTAAATAGGTTTTCCAGCTACCTTCAGCCTACTTTTTTGGAGTGTGAGTTATTCATTTTATATGCCAGCTGGTTCAGTTTCTGCCCTCATTTAATTTAGATTTGTATCACTGTACAGTGCAGTGCAACTACTCCAGATTTAAACCAGAGTGAGAACAGCATTTGGCCTACTGAATGCCACTGAAGTGCAAGATATACAATCTTGCTTCTTGAATCCAATCTATAACTAATATCTGTTTTATGCCATTTTTAGACTTTCATGGGGGTTGCACTTGAATTTAGTCTTAAGAATCATACATCATATCAATTTTACAATGCACTTCTCACTGAAAAATTACTGAAGCTGTATTATAACAATATTTTGCTTTCCTATAGCTCTTTTCATCTGCAAATCTCAAAGCTCTTTACAAAGAATGCTAATTTAGCTCAACAATGTACAAACAATAAATACAAACAATATACAAGATGGTGGTCAGTTTTTGGATCCGCGCTGTATACATTGTGTTTATCATTGGGAGCTAGGCATAGGCAACAAAAAAAGGGAATGATAAACACAATGTGTACAGCTACTATTAAAAAGTTAAAGTTGATTTGAGTGCAAACAGGACCATGCCCATAATTGTTATTCCTAATAAATTGGGGTAGCAGATTTTTTTTTTCTCCTAGGGGACTACAAGAGTGTCTAAAATATCCTAGAGTCCACCTGATATACTAATTCTTGCTAACCTCTGTTCTCACATGGAGGGACCACTATGTCAAAGCATTTTTGTTTCCAAGATAGAGTAGTCTGATTTTAGCTTTTCTCAAATAAAAATTACTATGACTATTGTATCTGTCAAACTGTGATAAATTATGAGAGCTGATTATTGTATTTTAATGCAAACTACTGTTGACTAAGGGCATCAAACTTTGAAACCAATTAACAACAAACTGTGATCCTAGAGGTTGAAGACCAATAATTTATCTGAGAGCAAGCTATCCACTCAAATCCCTTGCATTTATTTTTTCCAGGCTTTCAGTCTTGATTAATAACATAAAAAAACATGCAAGACTGAACAGTATGAACCAAAGCTATATTTTTGGACCTACTGACATGCAAGTTCTAATTTAATAAAAGAAAAAGGAAAAGCAGGAGCGGTGTTTCACTATCTGCACATTAGGATTTCTAAAAGCAATATATGGAATATTTCTTACAAGATGGGATGGGAAGAATTATTATTGTAATTTTAACATCTCTCTAGGACACGCAGCATGAGATCCCTCCTGTGAGACACCTCTGCTTTGGAAAAATTAAGTAATCAGATTGTTCAGGCTTTTCTTGGCGACACATTTGTAATATAGCAATAAAAACTCAGTTAAGAAGTTTGCAGGAAACACAGTACACAGCAATTTATTCACCATTTTTTTGTTATGAAAACCTAGTAGTATTTAAATGTAAAGAATTCCAGCTAGGCTACAAAATAACATGTCTACCCATGTTTTTTGATAGCTCTTAGATGCAAAATATAAAAAAATATATAAACTGTTTAGTAAAGAAGCAAATCTATATTTGCCAAAGAGTTATATAAGCTTCTAACCTAGTTAAAAAGCGCTTGTTATTGTTACAATAAAACTTTCATAAAGCACTGATCTAATCAAGAAACCAGCATTTTGTAGGCAAACTACTATTAAAAGTACACTTTAAAAACAAATTAGAATAGTAACGTTTTCATAATTCAGGCGCTTTAAGTGCCTTTATTGTAAGGTTTTTTTTGTTATTTTATGCTACTAATTTTGTAAATTACAGGTGTACTCTTTTGATAGGGTTTTGACACTAAATTAATATGGGCTCATGATGTAGAAGCTGCAAACATAAATATTCTGCTGAGTCTGTCATTTGAATATTTATTATTTATTTGCTTATTGTTTCCCTGGAAAACATCACCACTGGCATTGCATATGACCAGCACAATGCATTTGTAAGAGACATAGTGTGTATATATAAAAAAATTTAAAAATCATGCATAAAAAAATCTCTCTTTACATTACTTACAGTAAGCATAGACATAAGCACAAAGAAATATAATATAATGAAACAATTATGAAGACTGGCACCCAAATACCATAATGTCAGTAATATCTCTATGTCATAGATAGTGAAGGGCAGACCAATAACAGTTACCTTGTAATAGCTTTATTCTTAAATGTAGGCATAAATAAATCACAAATCTGCTATCACCTTTCTAGAATTTCTAATATGCAATCTTTATTGCATTAGAAATGAGTACAAAAGGGGAATATATAACTTCCAATGTATTTCCATATATCATAAAGGAATTTTCTGGGAACATTTATACTCCACCAGTAAAAGGTGTATATCTGTAGAGATTCTTGTATATTCAACTTTACTACAGAAGATGTTTTGCTTATTATTATAATATTATTTAAGTGCAAAGTAAAGTAATAAAGATTTTTTTGCACTTACATTTTGCACAAATATACAACAAGCAGTTCAGTTTGTGTTCAATTAACTATTTTGGACATCAAAACTCCCCTGGCTTTTTTCACAGTTCTTGGGTTTGGCTGTAACTTAGACAAATGTACTTAACTGCAACTTTTTTCTTTCAAAAAGAGGCAAACTGGATTATAGCAAATAACCTTTAAGATAATTAACTGACAATGCTGCAACTAGCATAAAATCTTCCTTCAGGCGACCCCTAATTTAAGTATTACTGGCACAAAGTGGAGACAGATTGTGCATCACCACCGCAATATTTACATAGCAGAAACCCACAGAGCAGGAAACGTGAGACTCAATGATGCACTAAATTAGGAACAATCATATTCTAGTGTTAATTTGCTTTCCACTCTATCCAAATCTCAAGTCCAAAAATTGCTACAAATACACAGAAAATGTTCCCACTTTTAATTATTAAGAGCCACATTTAGCGAACAGTTATGCACATAAGTAACTTTATTCACATGTGTAAGCAGTTGCAGAATCAGACCCCTATAACTAAAGAGATTTTAAAGTTTTTTTTAAATAAAGAATTTCAAAACTATTTATTTCTTCCCACAAGTAAATACCAAGCCAAGCAGGATGTATTTTTACTTTCAAGCTACCTGTCCTTTAATTGCAAATTATTTTTATCTGACAATAACATCATGATTTCTATGAAATGATTTTAACAAATTCCCTAAGCAGCAAATAATTTTATTTAAAGGATAAAAGTTAAGACATGCAGGGGAAGACAGAAAATATATCTGTAAATGTATTTGAGGTCCATATTTATTATAAATATTCTAGCTGTATGCTATCATGGCATACATTTTGCTAATAAAACCATATGTTACTGTATGTTTTTTAAATAAAAACAAACACTCCCCACTACATGCTTCAAATTTTCTCAAATTTAAATAGCCCTGTAGCACTTTACAGACTAACAAAAAGGTGCCACAGGACTACTCATTTTTAAAGTTGCAAACTAACACAGCTACCCCTCTGAGACTCAAATTTAAATATTATTCTGATTGGTATTCTATATGTGGTATTAACAAAATATTTACCTTTCCTAATTGCTGATGGTCTTCAAAAGCAGAAATCAATTCTTGTGCCCACTTTATTTTTTCAGGGCTTGGAGAGAACTGTTCCTGGACAACAGCAATTTGGTTAGGGTGAATCACCTGCTTACCTACAAAGAAGATTAATAACACTGGAATCATGCATCAGCAAGCAGATGTTCAGCAAAATGTTCCAACCACTTGAGGCTCTTAAATGCCTCACAAACTTTATGTTAAATAACTACTTATTTGACTAGATTTCTATTATTATTAAACTGAACAACAACCCTTAGCTAAATACTGTATGAACAAATATATCTATAGCAGAAGTTATATTCGTTACAAATCAAAAATACATTTTCCCCTCATCCATTTCAATCCATATATCTTCCTTTTGTCATTACAGGTGTAAGGGCTGGGCAAATATTGTCAATAACAATTTAAGTATAACATATCTTTGTAGCTATAAAAAAATAGCATCAGAAACCCACAATTACTGTTTTTTTGAAAAATTAAACAACCTGAAAATAATATTTAAGCAACAAAAAAACCCATATTTCATTGATAGCTTTTTTAATTCTACAAAAGTATTAATCCCTACATTACAATAAATTGTTTAGCAATAAAAAATATTCAGAATCCCCATTCCCATAATGATTCGTTAGCGGTTGCTGTTGTATAATAATACTTTTCTTTTTATTATATTAATGAACTTAAAAGGTACATAGAGGCTTAGATAGGCATCTTTTTATCCTTTTTTGTATATGTGTGTGTGTACAAAAAATTAAATGTTGTCTCATAATTTTAGTAAAGATTTTCACTTTTGATTACTGAGTGAGGTATTCAATTTTAACCTATACTATATATGCTTATACAATGCCTATATTGTTTGTTTTACATTTTTAAAATAGTATTTTACATTCTTAATTTTTTTAAAAGGAATTTTCACATGGGGTGTGATTTTGCATTTTTTTTATTTCAATTAATTTTGAAATGTTAATTATAAATAAATGGTATTGTAATATCCCTCTTTACTTAAATGTCCATGGAGGAGATATTAATTTTCCTTTATATCGAATAAAATAGCTACAAATTAGAGGCCTGATCCTGCAAACCCTTATTCAAATTAATAGTCCTTCTTCTAGAAGTGGTCCCATATTACTCATATTCCCAGAACCACTCAAGATTGGAATCTCTCACGTGAGTAAAGGCTGCTCAGTCAGCCTACCTGTGTGAATTAAGACTATTCATGGCCCCAACCCTGTGTCAGAATCTGCTAGTGCAGACCCCTGCACCATCTGGTACCTTACTGATCCAATGGGACTCTGTATGAGTGCAGAGGTCCATGCTAGTGGATCTCAGTGGAAGATCAGGGCACATGTAAGTAAAGGTTTGTGGTACTGGGCTCTAACTTGTGGTTTTTTTTAAGTAGAAAAGTATTTTTAAAAATTCCCATTTAAACTAAAAGCTGGCTACATTGTATATAAATAAATTATTTCATATAATAATTAATATATATTACTATGGAAATGAATCATACACTTTTAATTAATTTAGCAACTAGAAAAAATTATTAGCAAACATATGCAACAGAATCATAAAATTTAGTGGTACATAAAAATAAATTTGTGAGCCAGTTTAGTCCACCACATTTTTATAAACAAGTTAGAATTGTTCAGATTATCACATTTCTTAGAAGAATTTGCCACAGAACTCAATTTTATTTTATTTCCTGTTACACAAGTCTTTATTTGTAATCCTAATGGCTATCCATTAGGAGATTCTGATACTCCAATCTACTATAGAAAAAATAATTTAAAATAGTTTAAAACTTTTAAGTATTTTTAAGAACTGTTTTGTTGAAAAGAATGCAAAAACCAGAACATTTCTTTTGCTAAAGTATTTACTTGTGTAGTTAGAGTAAAATTATTATTATATTATTTTATTATTGTTATTGGTTTTAATTTGCTTTATTTTTAATAGTTAAACTGGTAATTTTGAAATTGAAGGTTCTGTACATAATTCATAGTAAAGTCTACAAAGCTTAATTTCCAGGAAAAATATTTTAATTATGTACGTAACATTATAACGAAGGCTTTTGATACAATACAAATAAAAATACCTGTATACATTATTTTAAAAAGGCAACTGCATTTCTTTATTAAAATTAGTTTTTAAAAATGTATTAACAATAAAAATCCACTATTTGTGCCAGTGTGCCATTGGCAAACAGATTATAGAAAATATAATGTAACATTTGATTTATGGCCTGAGTTGCCTTTTGTCACATCTTATGTATCCAAACAACTGTATAATAGAGTTTAATGCCATGCAGGAATAAAGCAAATATTTTAAACTGAACTGTTGTTATTGACAAGTTACTGAGAGGGTGCAAAATTGGAAGACATTAAAATTTATGACCATGAAATCCTTTTTACAGTACCACTTGATATATCGTGCTTTAAATCAATACCTGTCAAGTCTTTAGGTAACTATATGATGGTGTCATTTTTGTCTTCTACAAAAGACTGCAAAAAGAGAGGAAAACCTATAGTGTTTCATATTTATATCTAGCTTCTCAGCATGTAGCACTGGAGTAGTTATAATGAGTAAGTCAGCTGTTAAAGCTTTATTCTAAGGTTTACTTATTTTTTGATATAAAGATTCCTAAAACTGATGACCATTTATATAGACAACACATTGATTTAAAGTCCATATTTTATGGCACTATAAAACATATGCTGCTGTAAAAGTAATCCTGTATTTTAAAAATTTACAGTGGTTAAATGATGATTGAAAACATCCAGTACATGCATGCACATTTATTGCAGAAACAATAGGCTGATTACAATGCCTAATTTAAAGGAAAATTAGAAGAAAATTTAGCTCTTATAGTGGTGATGCTCATATAAGCATTTAAATAAATAGAAATATCATTTTATATTGAGTAACTATATATTTCTGGAAAAACAACAAGGAGTCTGGTGGCACTTTAAAGACTAAAATAATTATTAGGGTATTAAAGCATAAGCTTTTGTGAGCTTCAGCTTACTTCCACAGATGCTGAAGATGTTTCTGAGATGTGTACACTATTTAAACTTCAAGAAACATATTTTGATTACTTAAAGGATTAACATTTATTGCAAGCCTATGTAAGTACTTTGTTGAAGTATTCTGGAGTTGCATTAATTTAGGAAGAGTGAATTTGGCCCTCAGAGTATCTATTTTCTGTGTATCCTGCTGATTAATTATTAACCATTTCTTTAGCTGCTTGAACTCTTTACCCCATTTTAGTCACACCTGTTGTTTTCAGTGGCATTAGTTGTGAATAAAACTAGCAGGACTTGACCCAAAAGATTTTAAAATACATGAGAAATAAGTAATCAGATCTTGTATTAACATAAGAACATCAAGATATTATTATCATGCTACTAGACAGCTGTATGAAATAAGGGGGTCTTTAAGCAAAAGCAATCCACAGCTTTCTGCCCAGTGGAAGTTCATGGTTTATGACTTCACATCTGACTGGACTGTTTATCAGATTATATGATGAGACATTGCATTTTCAAGATTTCCTGGTTCTAGCCATGGAGAGACATATGTAAAAACAAAGGCTATGAGTTCAAGTTAATGAGTTCTGCCTCTTCTGCAGATCTTTAAGTCTAATTTAGGAAGGCCAAAGACCCTCCATTATCAGTTAGGAATTAACTTCCTTTGGCACCCTAAATTGTCAAATATCCACTTTTTACTAACATCATATCTGAATCTTTCAACTTCGTATTTTTAAATAATTTGTAGCTCCACTGTTACTTCTCCAAAACCCCACCATACTGATATCAGATGACTTCCTATACACGTTCTGTCAGTTCCCAAATATCAGAAGGTTAGTGAAGACCAAAATTTTCTAATTTATGCACCTAAATAAAATGGCCTAATTTTCAAAGCTACTTAGCACCCACAACTCAAATGGACTTTAACAAGAGCTGCAGATGCTCAATACCTTTACAAATTAGGTTGTTTTATTTATTCCTAAATAAATTAGAAAATGTTGGCCTAGGTGTCTTAACCATCAGCGGATGGTGAAATCAAAGAGCTTTGTCATATTCCCATTAACTTCTTCCACAGGGACATTAATATGTTCCATCACATTGGTACAGTAACAATTTTGCCTCTGAATCAAGATTCAGATTTTGCAAGTACAAAAGTTCAACAGAGAACAGGCAGCGTCTGTGATGAAGAGAGTCCAGAGTTACTATTAATTTAATGAGAGACAGGGTGGGTGAAATAATATTTTTATTATACCAACTTCTCTTGCTGAGAGAGACAAGCTTTTGAGTTTACACAAAGCTCTTGTTCAGGCATCCTGTGTTGTTTTTAATAGCAAAGTGTGAACCATTCAGACTAACTTTAATTTTCATTTGATAGTTTTGTTCAGATAATGAAAGTGCTTTGAAGTATCATGTGCCATTACTTTTACTTTGAAAAGTGTCATCTCTTGTTATATCATTACTTCAGGATATATTCTTTCAATAATGAATAGCTAATAAATATGCAACTGTCTTGAGTCTAATCTGAATTATAATTTTTGAAAGAAATAATTTAAAGTGTTAGTACTAATTTCTTAGAATTTTATAATGTATAGGAAATGGTACATTTCTATTGCAAAAGCACCGTCTTTTGGTTCTTGCAATGTGTCATTGGTGATAGTGAGTGATGTGAAATACCAATTACCATCAGTGTTACAGGACTCTGTTGCAAAGGAGCCTGTTGGCCTTGCAGTCTGCCAGTACCTGTAGGTGTCACCAGGTGCATAAGCGCTTACTGGGAGGGAAGCCAGAATATGGAAAATCAAATAAAAGAAAACAACATGACAATAACTTCCCTATACTAATTAGCATATTGGGGGGTTGATCTACTCCCTAACAATAAATAAATAAATACATTTAAAAAGACAGTAAAGTAATACAAATTTTAAACTGTTCATCACAGTCACAATATCACCTCTCATTTGAACTGTCAGGAGGAACCACACACGGTACATCTTATACTAAGGCTTCCTTTACACAAGTAGTGATATATTTGATGTGATTTTGAAAAAGCAGCCTATGATTTTGCAGCCTGATTTTTTTTGTCTGCAATTTTAAAAGCATAAGTAATTGGGCGTGCTTTTAATATTACTGACTGATCAACAAAGGATCTGTGAACAGAAACTAGTTTGCAGGTTTAGTGACATAAAATGCACCTATATATATTGAGGAAAATACATAATTTTTTTAATACACTGTTAGATAACCATACCAGTGAAACCCATTAGCGCCCCCTCTCTTGACTGTCTACGGAGCCCATCTTCATCTCGGAAATCAATATAAACAATGTCTATAGCTTGTAGGTCGAAAGCCTTTGCTGTGACAATAACTTTTTGCCTGGCGTATAGAATATCATGAGTATCTTTACTATTTGTAGCACCTAAGAAAATAATGAACACAAAAAATTAACTTTGTTTTTAAAATCTCATTTCAAACTTTTCAATAGAAAATGTCTTTGAGTTTTCATTTATATCATTTTTTAAAAGAAAAAAATTGAGGGATACAAAGGTATCCTGACCAAGTGTTGTACAGAAATCACTTACATAGTTTAGTTGAGCAAATATTAAACTTTTCCAGAAACAATATTTTCTTTGTGTATTAGCTTCAGAAATGTAAGATATGATTTAGTTCAAATCATAGATCCTGAGACTGAGGACAATGGAAGTGTTGGCTGAGCAAGGGCTGCAGGATTCCATCTTCAGTAATTATTTGCTTCTATTACTTATTGTAATGGCACTGAAAAGCGTTACACCAAGAGAAGCATTACACAGATGGACATACTATGTCTAACAAAATGGTTAAAAACTCACACTGAGAACAGAATTGCACTTTCCTTGTTTGTGATTGTTGCCATAAATGATGTTCTTAGAAAAATATTTAAACTTTAATATTTGGATGGGAAAATTTGAAAAATTATGGGATGACTTTTGAGAGGGACAAAAGCATTCACAAGATTTCATGAGTTCAGTTTATCAGATAAAAACATTCTCATGAGAATCTTGGTGTGAAAAAATAAAAATCTGTTCTCTTTTCCTTAGGGTCACTGTTCAGATACGGATGCTCAATTTGTATAAATAATTTGTTGTTAATTGTTACATTAGAAAATGTACACATTTCATTATGACTTTGATCCTTCTCAATTGTACTTGTTGTTTTTAAGCAGTGCATACCTCAATCAGATTAAAAAGTCTTTTAGCAGATAATGTCTCTGTTTAGTAAATAATTTACAAAAGGAATTTTGAAATATTTCTGGCTTTGGAGGTACCAGTTTAACACAAGTCTATGAGGCGATATGACTGTTTTGATGTAGAAAGTATTTATAGTACATTTATTAAACATAATAAGGAAGTATTGTGAGTAATATCAAAATACACTTCAGTGTAAACCATGTTAAAAACAGACATGAAAATTTGTCTTGAAATATGTTTTTTGGGAGAATATACAGATTGATGGTCATATAAATATTACAGTTTAAAATAAGCTTAATTATTCAACAGGTTTTTAAATTTTAGCTACAGTTGTAACAAGAAGAATAGGAAAAAGCCGGTGTTTTGTAAATCACAGTTTTATCAAACTCTGGATTTCAAAATTTCAATGACATAATTTACATTAATAAAACTTATGCAGAAAAGTGGGAAAATGTACCAATATAAGTATGTGCAGAATCATATGTTTAGAGTTCTTTAGAGTGCAGTCAGGACAAGTGGTTAAAATACCATTGATATTCTCAACTACAAATGTCATACATTTTAAATAAATAAACAAGTCAGAACCTATGCTGGCACGAAAATCTTCTCCTCCAAAGACTACTGCATCCAAATGAAGGCCAACTTGGGATCCTATTCTTAATGTTTCTTCACAGACTGCCTTCAAATAAGAACACAACATTAATTTCTCCTGGAATGCAGGGATGACAGAAACATATTGTACCAACTCATTTTATTATCAAAATTTTGAACTCTTTCAGCTAAAATAGCTCAAACTAAACAAAATACTGTCACTACTAAACTGCACAGAATATCTTAAAATGATGCAGAGCAAAATCTAAAACAATATGTCTACATATGAACATATATACGGTAGCTACAGCATACAATTCTGGATTTCTTACCCTTTTTTTCCCCTTCAAATATGAATGAGCTTACCACAATGCCATGGATACTACTGTGATTGGCACTTCAGAAATGTATGTAATTACAGTAAACTAAGTACTTATTAAATACTGTCCAAAATAAGCACATGTACTTTACCTCAAGAGTTTATGCTTTGGCATGTAATAATTTTGCATCAGAAACAAAGACCAGAATCTCTTTTATTAAATAAATAATAGTTGGAGGTTTCAACGTGTTGTGGATTCCTTACTGGAAGAATTCTTTACTGGAGAATTTAAAATCTTTAATACTGTCAAATACAACTAAGAGATAGGTATGCAAAATCAAAAATGCAACAAGTAGTGCAGAGGTGTATTAATGTAAAAACAAGCAGCATTTAAAGGTATTATATATAAAAAAATACATGTCAACATTATTACTATTTTATAAAAGAAGATTTTGATATTAATAGTCTTGAAACATACGGTATGCCTAGAGAGACAGATGTAATTACAAATTGTACTACTGGGCATCCATATGGGAGAGCTGGTGAGATAAGAAATTAGTAGTACTAGTAGTATATACAGTATATTTTAAGATGAAACTCTCCTGCCAGCACCAAGAACTATGGTATTTATTAGGAATTCTACTATAAAATATCACAGACACAAAATTCTAAACAATTTAAATTTAAAATAAAATCTCTCTGAGTACTGACAGTGAATATGAATGTTTGTCTTGTAATATTTTAAATTATTTTCCAAGATATATTTAAGGTATGCAGTAAGAGTAAATGTTTTTTGCTATATATATATACACATAGACAATGAGGCTTCTCAGCAGCTCTTGAAACACTTTATATATACAAGTTTTGAATTACTCTGAAACTTTTCTTTGAAGCTTTAGGAGAAGAATATTGCATTTCCAGTGAGTGCATTTGATTTTCCATTTCATCATCATTGGTATTCCCTGTAGAAACACAGGCTAAATACTGAGACTGGGGGCCATTTGTATTTCATGAGCATCAAGTCAGTCAATTTGCAAATAATACTGAGGAAGATTTAGAAAATCTTTATACAAGACAAAGAAAAAATATAATTTGAATTTAAGTGAGCCTGAGAATAAAACATTCATGTTGTTCAGATGTTGGGTACTTTAGAACTTCAGTTACACTTCTAAGTGCAGAACACACCTATGAGCACAAATATGAAATATTATTATTTGTTCTCAGAGCTATAATATGAATTTTGAAGTATTTTATAATGAGAATCCACAATAAAAACACTATGGTAAAATTACTGAAATGATGAAAAGTTTATTTATAAATACAGTTATAAAAAGTCAACTATGCTACTTACTAAACAATCAATTTTACAACAACAATTCAAGCTTTCCAGATAATTTCAAAGAATATCTCCATATTTTGAAAAAATCAAATGTAAAAGTAAAACAAAAATTATTTCACAGGGTTTTATTATATGGTCTTTACGTATTATCTGGTATTGGCATTTTACTGACATATTTTGGATTTTGTTATGGCCTTTACAGAAACAGAAACAAACTTTTCAGAGGACTGTAATCCCTTTTTTGTCATTGCTCCTATTTAGATACATTTCTTATTTAAAGGACATAAAATATTTAACATACATCTAGGTCGCCGATAGGATAAAATATGAACTCTTTACCACATCAAGGTTCCTTACCTTAAAATTGAGCAACCCCATTGCAGTTTCCACAAAAGGGATTAAATTCATTGGTTCTACAAGTGGTCGGCCTTTTAAGTGATATAAAAATTTGTCTGTAAACTAAAACCAGAACAACATTAAAAGTGACTAAAGAAAAAAATTCATTTACAAATATCCACATGCACATGCACCTTTTCAGACATTTCACCTGGCTGCAATGACAAAACAAAACCAGAACTGTAATAAAAAAATGCTCAAGCTTTCAACCATGTCTGTTCTGAGGCCTACAATTCTGAATTGCAATATTACCGTATATTTTGAAGTTTAAGGGTTTAATTGTAAAAATATTTACTTAACACCTAGCACCCTGATGGAGTTAAATGCAAATCAGCAGGCCCTTAAAAACAATCAAGTATTGATATACCTGACGTCCTGTTTTGTTTCATGTCTAATACTAACATCACTGTAACTGTTCCGCAGCCTTCTAAGTGGCATCCATATTATTCATTACGGCACCGTTACCCTTTGTTCACTAGGCTTTTCTTCATAATTTTTAGCTTACCTAGGAAGGCCTTAAAAAGGAAGTTTAATTCTTTGAAGACCAAAGCTTTCCAATTTTTTCCATGAGACCAGTTCACAGCTAGCTCTGAGCTGCCAGTGGGGTAGCCCAAATTCCAAAATCTATCATCTGGAAACATACAAAAGCTCTTGCACATATTTTTCTCCTTTCAAAAGAAAAAAACCCCCTATATTGTAAATCTATTATGTCTGTCTAGATCTAGTAATTTGTGAGGAGATAAACATATCACAGGTATGGTAGAAGATATTTTAGTAAATAAAGACAAAAATAACACATGCATCCATTTTAAATTTAAGGAATATGCAACCATTAATGGATATCAAAGGAAAAGGGAATTTTAATCATCTCTCCATTCAGTCTCAGTTGGGTAAATCATATCTAAGAGATTTGCATAAATATAAACCATCAAAGACTTTTCATCTTCAAAGGGGGTTTCAAGACCCTATAAGCTTTGTACTGTAATCATCACAGGTCACAACCCTGCAGGAATAAGGCTGCTATGGCAACATAAAAAACTAATGCTTAAGGCTTAGCATAATATTCTGACTAATAGAAAGGAAACTCATTTTAAAAGCTGGCAGCCTATTTACCAGAAGCTGGATTAGAGGTGTTATTTCCCCTTTTAGCTTCCCTCCCTCACCCCTCCCCAAAAGAAAGGAAAATCTAATCACTGAGATCTTTAAAAAGCTTTCGAGCAATTTGCAGTAACTTTACAATTGGGCCAAAATAAATCACAGCTTTTCGCGATGAAGAATTCTGCCTTCCCCACATTTTTCTGTGCATCATCATCATCATCATCAAAATCTCTTCTGTAACTTTTCTCCAAAGAAGTCAGCTAAAATATATAGAATTAAGAAAATCACAGCAATTCAGATGCATATATGTACAGTGTCTTAGGTAGAGCAATAGAAAATCGTAAATTTCATACAGGTCAGAGTAGGAACATTGGAAGCAGTGCACTAAAACAATTTCAGCTTTAGTTCTGAAGATCCCTGTATGATTTTGACTTTTAAAAATAATTTAAAAAAATGAATGGACAGTAGGGGTTGGTAACTTAGATGAAGGTTTAAATGGAAGAACTCGTTAGATTTCAAACATTTAAATAGCCACCTTGTTAGGTTTCTTTAAAAATGCTCCATTTTAATATCTTTTACTTTGAAGATAAAAAAGAGAATTTTTAATTAAATACTGTCTCCTTCCTCTTTCTTTTTATAATTTGTTATAAGCACTAATACAAAAGGTAACTAGTGGAGAAGTTTCAATTAATTTTTTCAAAAGGAGACGATTAAATGTTTCCGGCCTGGTAAAGTGTTCATTTCAGTGAGGGAGGGAGGGGGGAAAAAAGAGAGGGGGAAAAACACAAAGATTGGGGAGGGGATGAAGTAGCAGGCCTCAGCAATTCTTTCAATTCCAGTGCACACCCAATAGTGTGTTGGGAAGAATGCACACTGTTCAGGATTTGTGGGAGAATTGTCCCATGACAAAAGAGGGAGAGTTACGCTTGTTATAGTCCAATAAGCCATGCCAGTCAAACAAGTACCCATACTAGGGACAAAAGGAAAGCAAGAGATTCTCACACAAAAGAAAACAAGTAAGCCCATCTTTTAGTTGTGCATCAGCCTCCAGGTTTTATGTTTCACATAAAAAAATGAGCAGAAAAATAAACAGCAAAAGGCTTCTGTTATTTCAAAAAATTAAACATTTTTAAAAACTGTGTTATTAAATCCAACATGTTCTCTGTTACCAAAATGCAACAGATCAAACATACAGACAATAAGACGTAAGCTAGTGCTATTTTATTTTCAAATGGGATGATGATAGGTATGAAAATTAGCCATTGGGGGATGGGAGGGACAAAGTCTTCAGATTTCATACCAATGCAAAACCAATATTAGGTACTAGTGAGGCTCCTGTCATTTTGGAAGCATGAATATTCATAAATGACAAATTATGTCTAACACTTACATGGTTGTAAACCTTGAAAGGTATTTTCTAGTTAATTTAATTAAATCGTGGTGTAAGGGGACATACCTTCCATTAGAAACAGGGAAGACTGAAGGTACACTATTACAAATGGACAAGTACTGTAATATAACTAACATATTTGTTCAGTTTTAGTTACATATACTATCTTAAAGGCTTGATCAAGGTTAGATGTTGGGATTAAACCTGATAATAATACATCTTTCATTGCAGGTCACATAAATTTTAGATACTCCCTATACTTGTGGTTTTCAAAAGTATGGAACTGCATAATGAAACATTATTCCTTAGCAGCGTTTTGCAGAAATAATGGTATCGCTAAATAAAATGTACCTCTTCTTAACAATTAAAACAATTATAGCATAATTAGGCCTATTTCAAAGTTTTCTTAAGTAATTTGACATGCCAACCATTTACATTTCAGGTTTTTATTGGCTAAAAAGTCATTCATGAAACACAAACACACCTGTCAGCAATTAAAAAGGAAGAAATAGAGAACTGTTCAGGAAATAATATCTGTGGTAATTAAAAACACTAGTTAAAAGCTTCCTGTTGGTTCCTTTAGTTGCCCCAAAGGAGTGACCTTTTCCTTTCCCTCCCCATTTTTTCATATGTTGCTAACATGTTTTCTCCATCTACAACTTCCCAGGCATGTACATAAAACATATTGACATACAGAATCTTTTCAGGTGTCAGTGAAGGTTCAGAGTTTGATAGAATGGAACAAATCAAATGATTACACATTTTCTTCTATATTTTGATAACATATTGTAACATAGTTATTCTTTTTATCAATTACAGTGCTAAGAAAACTAGTTTTCCTTAAAAACTAATGTTGCTACATGTATGCTTGGTGTACAGCTCCAGACTATGAACATTTTAATGGAAATGTTAGTGTTTTCTTTCCTAGATACAAACATTGTCCCATGATAACATTCTTTGTAACTCTAGCTCATTGGTCCCTATGGCTCCTTCTAAATTGGCCCCAAGTCTTCAATCCAAAACTATGATTATGACAATTTGATAACTACTCACCCATCTTATTTCTTCAGCATTTTCAACTTTTGGCAGCATCAGGCTTGAAGGAAGAACACTGGACCTCAAAAGGACCTCGAGATCTTGTTCTGCAAGACCACTGGACACTGAATTGATCCTAACGCACTTTTCAGTTTGGCCAAACGCAAACTCTTTCAGTGTTTTCACAACTGTCAGCCTTGCTTCTCCCTAGAATATACATATTTTTAAAAATTAAGTTTATTTTCTCTTGATAGAAAAACTTACCGAGCAGAAATCATATCAAACTGATGAAAAAATGAAGCCAACAATATAAAAATCAATTTACCATAATATTAATTACTGTTTGCCTTTTGTTATACCTTTCATAGCCAATACCCCCAGAATGTTAGTTTTAGCAATCTATTTACAACTGATAGTAAATACTCAATTTTCACATCTGCTTAATAATAGGATTACTACAGTACTTGAAGAAAACATCAATTTCATGTTTAAAGGTATTGAAAAATGTCTAACAAACACAAATCTTTAAACTGGCATCTTTCTATACCAATAGTTTTCATATAGCCAAAAATGGAATAAGAGAATTGCATAAAATAATAATATTTTCAATTAATATCTGTATAATTCTAATGGACCACAATAACATTATAGTTATCAGTATGCAGACTTATATACTTATTTTTTGTTTTGATGTATCATTATCCTTTTTATTCATTAAGCTGTATGAATGCTTGCAGTTGAGTAGGCAACTCACACATGAAAGTAATACCATGCAATCCAAAATAATATGCAGATTTTTCTGGAAACTCTGACTGATAGTGAAAAAGATACTCTATGTTATCAACAAAAATAAAAACTCCAAAAACATTTTCCAACTGACACACTTCACAAAAATGGTGACAGAGGAAAGTTTATTTATCTGTCCAATACTTGATTTGCATTCAGAATACTTACATCCTTTGCTGAAATGAAACACTTCTATTGGCGTCAAGAAAAAAGGGAAAGAAAAAAAAAGAAAAGAAAAGAAAGCACTTGAGCTCACTACTTCCTGCCAATTTCAGTTTCAAAAACAAATTCCTTCAACTTGCCAACAGCCCTTAACAAATTCTCATTGTGAAAATGAACACTTATCAAAAGTAGTTTCATTTGTGAAGAGTTTTTATGGTACTAATAAAACTTTAAAGCTTCTGACTCATGATTACTTAAAAAACTGTTTTAACAATATACAGCCATCTGAACAGAAATACTTATTTAGAAAATAGGAGAAAACAGAAAAAAATCATCAAAGTTAATAATGAGACTAATACTAATCAGCAAGACAACACATGACAGTAGATTTAAACCAGACGGATACAAATCTCTGCCTGTGAGTAGAGGCAGAAGAGATTTCAAAATGTGGTCCGAGTTAAAGAGTGTGAGGAAACAGTAGCTTCCAGTTGTCAGGTCAGATCAGAATATGTCTCCAAGACCAGTTTAAGACAGCACTGCAGTGTACTGATTTACAAGACTTGGATTGCCAATAATTAGGATAAGTTTAGACAGAAGCAAGTGATTACTCTCACCAGTTAAAGTGAAAGAATAATGAAGCTGAAGGTTAATGAAACTTGAATCAAACAGCCTTCAGCTTTGTACTATCATCCATGTTTCTCCAAAGGTTTTAACATATGCCCATCAGCAGGATAGAAAATGACAACACAGACACACCCCTATGCTATGATACAAGGCTATATTCAGAGGTCATTTCATTAAAATATCAATACAATCAGAAACGTTATTGCTATTGTAAATGAATTCTAGCTGCCACCATTATGGAATCAACATACACATAGTTTACTGAAACATATTTAGCTGGAAAAGGACTCCAAAGGTATCTACTATTGTTTGTCTTCTGATTTCTTCAAATTGCACTATGTGATGACATCACCGGCTAATTCAAATTCCACTAAATTTTCATTGTCAGAGCAGCAATAGTTAATTTCTTAGCTGATCTGAAAGTTTGTGATCTGGTGTAGAGTGATAGTTTAAAACACATTCTCTAAACCAATTTATGCTCTTAACTAATGCCAGATAAAATGATCACAGTTTCAGTACATAATGAGCCACTTTAAAGATCTTCCAAAACTGTGCAATAAAGAAGAATCCAATTCTAATTGAGCACATATAACAGTAAAACTATACACTCTGATTTTTTCCAAATTATAATAGTGAGCAGTAGGCATTCTTGTTAGTTGTTTTCCCCCTCAGACTGTAAACCCCCATCCCATAAAAACACAGATCATGTCCTTCTAGGTATATATTTCCACACAAAACACTTATTAACAGGCTGTTGCTTTTAGTAATTTACATAAACTAAATGTGCATCCCTTTGGTACATATCCCAAAATAATCAATAACATCACTGAATTTGTACCAACCAACAAGGATGTTATTTTTTCATATTTTAATAGAGAAATATGTTACAGTTTTGCTAACACACGCATGCCATCTGTTGGGTTGAAAACAGATTCACTTTCTTAGAACGATTACATTTTAGTTGTGTCCGCTTCAGAGACAGAGATACCCCAGCAATGAAGAAGATTTTCTCCTTGATGAAATCCACCTGGTCCTCATGATCTCTAAATCCCAATTCAGTTATGTACATTTTAATTATGGACCAGTCTGGTAGGTACCAGACCAGACTGGTAAGTATTAGCTACTCAGAAGATTCTGAGTACTTCAGCCATTCCTGAACAGGATAACATGTCCCTATTTAAATCAGTGGAAAAACTCTCATTGATTTCAGTGGTGCAGAATCAGGTCCACAGACAGGATTACCACACAAAATGTCATGGTTAAACAGGAAACTAAATGAAAAAAAAAGCACAAAACATGGATGAAAAAGGAAGAAAACTGTTTCTGCATCATTATGCAATAAAATAGTTTTTATTATTACATAATATATGAAAAAGCTCAAACTTTTAGTTAATCTACTCTCAATTTAATAATAGAGAAAAGCTTTTATATTTGCTGCAATCATATATATACAGGTTATACATAGGCCTTTGGTGTAAGAATAAACCTCTTTCTAAAGACATTACCAAAGCCCTACTACAAATGGTCAGACTTAAATAAATTTGCTCTGTGCTTTATGTCAGCACTGTATCATAAGATAATTGTCTTCAATGAATGAATGAATGCATAAAAAGGAGAAAACCTGATAATTCAATAGATTATTCCCTCCCAAAATAGTCTGGGATTATTGTAGCCCAATTAGTATCTGGATTCCACACACATTGGATGCTTATAAAATAGAACGAGCTAGAAAGATGACTGACACTTCTTGTAAATAGTGATATTACTATAGTACATTAGAGTGACATCTTTCACTTGATAATCCATTCTGTGCATATTTAAATGTAGAAACAGTAGCTAATAAATGTATTATTATATTCATTCTAATATTTGATTCTCCATAGGGCACAGTTTGATTTTTGTTGCCATGTACTGCAACCAAATTGGGAAGATAAAGGTTTCGATGACGTAGCACTGCAGATAAATCAACCATCACCAAGACACAGAGACACTGAAATTAAAGAAGGGAATATGCGTGCAGTTGGTTCAATTGGCACCCATTAAAGCTAATAACTAATCATCTTCACAAGTTTCTAGATCTGAATTATCAAATCTGCAAAGAAAACAACATCCGTCCACTTTTACACTCCAGTGGAAGAGGTGGTCCCTCGCGGCAGGGCTGCACAGTCTCGCCATCTGGAGAATAAATCGAGTGTGAAGTACAGTATAGTTTGGGACCAAGCTCCGTGGCGGCAGCTCAGCAGTTAGTTCATTAGTTCCAAACTTCCAGGGATTAGTGCGGCATCAATTCTACTGTCGGATAGGATAAGACAGACAGAATACGACATTCAAGGAAGAATGTGACAACTAAGAAGGAGCCCCTTGGGCTTATTTATAAAACTACGTAATATAAACACACCTACATAAATGACTTAAATAGTAGCATTAACACCGTTTCAGAACATCTGAATTAGCACCCTTTTTATTTTAAATTATATGTCAACATATAGAAATTTCAGCTTTGAAACAGGAGCAATGCCATAGAACTAAAAAAAAACAAACCTCAAAACACAAGCCCCCCAATCCTCCCAAACACTGGACACAACATTAATAAAGAAATAATTAAACAAAGACCCTTAGATTTATGGAATTTTTGGTATTAGGTCAACAAGGATAAGAGTTATACTTTATATATTCTTTTGTATTTGATAATATATTCTACAAACAAATCTCTCATTACTGTAATTGTTAGAGTTGTATTATCTTTGGGATGGGAGTGGCTAGGCATGTATCCCTATAAACATGTCTTGTGTTTTGTGAGTTATATCTCTATTTCACTTTATCTTCCTGGATAAACTCAGTAATTTTTTCTCAAGACCTTCATTCCTTAATGAAAAGACAGAATAAATACAAAATAAAATGAAGAGGAGGTTAAAGTGAATAATGAAAACATGTTAAAACTGATGTCTGAGACATTAGCCTTTTACCATCTCTTTGCTTTAACTCTTCATATTGAAATACAAAAATTTCATCTGCTACAATGGTAGACCAGAAGATGTCCTGTACATGACAGCCTTAACGACTTTGTATGTTTCACACAGCAACAGAAATTAATCACTATAGTCACAATTAGAATTATGTTTTGTGACACTATTAACATGGTTAAAATATGCAATTCTGATTTAATATTACTTCCCTATAGTGGATTTTTAAACAACTTGACACTGATAAATCTTTTATTATTTTTATTAGTGAGCGCTGCATAAATCTAGATTATGTCTTTTTCCGGATCTGACTCTTCAAAATGCCCTTGAATATTCATAATAATGAACGTTACTCTGGCAAAATTAGTTTGTGCAGAGGGAAAACCTGATTTTTTTTATAAGCTCTGGTTCAACAGAGGTGATAGTTGTGTAAAATAAAACATTAGGCTTCTTGGTTTCAGGTTTACAGCAGAGAATGAAAATGGAACAGAAAATCATATTTATTTTCAAGAAAGCAAAGAAAAATGTCAATGCAGAACAATTTGTTTATCTGCTGAACATTTCTCAAAACAGTAGACATAGTTCATAATGTCTATTTTCTATTTTGCACCAGTCCAAAATATGAACAAACCTCTGAAAGTATATTCTCGTCTGGCTTCTAAGACTTTCAGACCAAAAAACTATCTAAAAACCCCTCATATAAACAGTAAAGCGTTCTTTACTGAAATCCATTTTTTTATCTGTTTTTTAATTCAATTCGTTGTTTGCAAGATTTTTTTAAGACACATGAAGTGGTCTCATTTATTTTGAAACACATTTTCTTTCAATAAAATAAAACAAGCAATTTATAAGAGAATGTACTGAAAACAAAAGATAAGGAAAAAGGGGGGAAGGTTTCAGAGGAGAGAGGAAACCTCTACTCAGTGTACTGTATGTTTTACACAGGATATCAGATCACAATAGTCCCTTCAGGCCTTGGAATCTATGAATCTATGTGCTTCTTTTCTTCTTCTGCAGTTTTGGCAAATAAATATTTAGGTAATTACTGAGAAATACAATCCTCCATCTTCTCTTTTAGAACCCCTTCCCTGAAGCCTTAAAAGCTTTTTTCTCTAGCAATTTGTTTTTTTGAGACCTTCTTCTTTTACACTGTCCTTTTCCCTTCTCTGATGAGAGACATTCATTAAAACACAATGATTTTTCTTACTGTATGCATCTATAACATCTGCCTCTTTCTCTCTGCTCTACTAAATGTATTTATATGCTCTCCATGGTCTATCATCTTGAAAACTGAAGCCCATTATTTCAATAACCTGCATTATGGACTAACTTGTAAAGTTAATATACTTTGCTAGGAAATGTAAAGGCCTTACTCCTACAGCATTTTATTAAATGGGGTTTCTTTCCAATAATCAAACAATGCATTCTTGAACAGCATTTTTCATATTTTTTTCTGTTTTAAAAGAACAGTACATTTTAAAGCTCTCTAAATGTATTGGCAGCTCTTCCTTTGATTTAGGCTCACTGAGCTTCCTCACCTCCCCCACTCCAGTGTGGAAATGAGTGGACTCCTGAAGTTACTCAGTGGCATCCACCTGACATCATCAGAGTTGGACAACTTCCATATATGACCGTCAGGAGGTGTCTTGGCTTGAATCGCCACAGAAGTGAGGGAATCAGAAAATTAAAATCTGAATTCCACAAGGTCAGCAGCCCAGAATCCAGGGTTTATGTATCCTGATTAAAGTTCCTGGATGCTGGACTACGTAAATTTGCTGAAACTCTGAGGAGCCACGATAGCTGCTGCTGAGAGAACTATTGCAAGTGATTTAAATATTTTTTACAAATTGTGTGTAATTTTTTTCCCGACATTTATATCTTTCATATAATCAAAGCAATGTGGCATTTTAAAAGGAGGTCACTATGATGAGATGTATACAAACATGCCTGTAGTCTTAAAATGTAGCCTAAATCTCTCTTCGTGTGCAATAACAATACTTAGCTCTCATGGCACTTTTCATGTGTGTGAACATTGTGGCTTTGTCTACACCGCACCCCTTTTCCGGAAAAGGGATGCAGATTAGACACTTCAGAATAGCAAAATCCGCGGGGGATTTAAATATCCCCCGTAGTATTTGCATTTACATGGCTGCCGCTTTTTTCCGGCTTGGGGATAAGCCAGAGAAAAGCGCCAGTCTAGACGTGATTCTCTGGAAAATAAGCCCTTTTCCGGAGGATCTTTTATTCCCCCGCGGATTTTGCTATTCCGAAGTGTCTAATCTGCATCCCTTTTCCGGAAAAGGGGTGCACTGTAGACACAGCCTGTATGTATTTTGATTTATGCATTTAGATTGTGTGTAGCACCAGTATTCAAAAGTTGTGTGATAAGCGTGCTATGTACGATAGGTCCAATGAGAGAATCTTGTCCACCCACTGAGGAGGCTATTCTTCTATCTGCCAACTTTTATAAACACTTATGAAAGAGATGTAAACAACCTTTCAATTAAAACAAATCAAACTCACACTATTTTCAGGTGGCTGCAAGATGTACTCTTTACTTCTCCCTCACCCCCCAGCTTTCTGAGGGTGCTTTTCACTGTGTGACAGATTAGCATCACAAATGAAAATGCTTTAGAAGCATTAGTGTTAATTAGTCTTCCCGGACAGTATGAATGAGCTGCTGTATGATGAAATGATGCAACAAAATTTTTTGTCTGATGTAATCAATAATGAAACACTGCAACATTTTTTATAGTGTCACAGGAACTCAACCATATGTCCTCATGAATTATTTTTATGTAAAAACAGTGGCATAATATGTAACAAGCTAAAAATGAAAATGTTTGCAACTCATCTTTTTAAAGTAAGTGTGAATTGAAAACACGTCCATTTTTGTTGGCATTCCTAATTAATATTATCAGCATACTCCTCATTCTAGCTAAATATTAGCAAGAGAAAAGTGACTTGCTCCATGTTCAGTAGCTGATTGTTGATGCAATTATTTTAAGTGAAGGACAGATCAAGGGTCTCAAAGACCAGAGAAGATTTATGTTCTAAACAGCCATTTAGTCATCTCTTCATTATTTTAATACAATGTCCAAAACCA